GTTGCTGGAGTATCAGAGAAATTCAGAAGGATCTTCAACAAACACAAGATCCCAGTACATTTCAAACCCAGCAGGACTCTCAGACAGAGGCTGGTCCACCCTAAGGACAAGACACCCATACACAAACAGAGTGGTGTAGTGTCTGTGGTCCAGGGCAGCGAGGACTGTCCAGACCTCTACATTGGAGAAACTAAACAGCCTCTTCACAGACGCATGACTCAACACAGGACAGCCACCTCCACAGGACAAGATTCAGCTGTTCACCTCCACCTCACGGATAAGGGACACTCTTTTTAGAACTAAAATGTGCACATTTTGGACTGAGAACACAGACGGTTTGAGAGGGGGGTGAAGGAAGCAATTTATGTAAAAGGAGAAAAACCATCTCTTAACAGAGGAAGAGGCCTCAGATTTCCACTTTCAAAAACATATAATGCAACTTTAAAACAGATTCCCAGCCGGTTTTCACACCTGATGGGAACAGAGGGGCCTCGTCTGTGAATTAGAGGAACAAAGACCTTAAGAAACCCCTACGGTTAAGGTGTTGAGGTGTGAATTGTCTAGGGCTGCAACAATGAATCGATAAAATCCATAAAAATCGATGATTAAAAGCGTTGGCAACGAATTTCGTTATCGATTCGTTGTGTCGCGTGATTATGCATCTTTCACGGCGCTGCAGAGCCGTTTCGTTTTGTTCACCTGCAGTTCATTGTCAATGCTGACTGACTGAATAAAGTTTGAAAAAAAAAACAAACTGCAGCGCGAATTGAACAGAGCGAGGAGGGAGGAGGAAGCAGAGCAGAGTGTTTTCAAAGGAAATTAAGTAAATTTTACAAATGACGCAGCGAAAACTGTTCGACCCAAGTCCTTCAAAGAGTGGGAGAACTTCACAAAGATAAAAACTGTGAAACATGCAGCTTTGAAAATCACCGACACGACACGTGAGAACCACGGAGATAAAACGTAAACATGTCTGAGTCACGAGGAGGAGGAAGGAGCTGCAGCTGATACATGTTTCACTCCCAACTCGTGTTGCAGGTGAGTCTCTACAATTTAACACATTGTTCTGTTTCAAGAGAGAAAACGTAACGTCAGTCTGTCTGGAAGATGAAGCTGTTTGTTTGTTTGTTTGTTTGTTTATCTGATTAATGACGGTGATAGAGAACGTGTGTTACTTTTTATTTAATTTAATCAGTATAAGAAGTGTTTAAATGTGATTTATAAATAAATCTAACACAAAGATAATAATTTAATGATTAAGCTTCAACTTTTAATTTGTTGGCAAAGTCTGAAGACACTGCAGGTATGGCAGGATGAATTGC